CACACACACACACACACACACAAACGTTTTCAGTCTGCATAAAAACCACGGCCAGTGTCTGGAGGACACAGGCAGAAACGACTCACCAAATTTCACACTCTTGTCTGCACACTGTGGGATCATCGATGCGTTCTCCTTCACGGTATATTTTGTTATTGATCACGCAAGCTGGTGACTCACAGAGTGGTTCAGGAATGCAAGTGACCGGCTCGATGAGAGAGTCGTATACTTGACCTTCGGGACAGGGGTGAAGATCACAGCCTTCAAAACAGACACCACGTTCATTCTCACAGTCCTGAGATATTTGATCGTAGTAAAGGCGGTTTTCGCAAGTCTTCTTGGGGCACAGCGAGATGCATGGATTGTAGACATGGCATTCAGTGCAGGTCAGTCCTGTGCAATGAACAGAGAGTGGAAATAAGCATAATTTGAACACATTTTTAAACCCCCCCCCCCAAAAAAAAAAGAAAAGAAAAGAAAATTGACTGGAGTCGACCAGATTGAAGCTCCCTTTCAATAAGAATGACCCCAACTCCATTTTTGGGTACCCCTTGTGACATAGTTAGTATGGACCTAGCTTAAAACAAACTCAAGAGTCTGCTCTATGATAATGCTACGAGCTATGAATTAACAGGCAGTCATGTTTTTCAGTTTTTCAGGTTCTTTGGACTCCCAGACTATTTGTATAGGTTTACTTCTGAAACAGTCAAGAGCAACGTTCGTCTTTACAGGAAGGTTAGCCACAGTGACTTAGTAAAGTTTGTTTAGTAAGCATTGAGACTTTAACAGACAATAAGCTAATAGCAGACAGACAATTGATTTTCCCACACATTCCTTTCTGCCATACATGCAGATGGCAGGACATGTGTATCCCAAAAGGTGAAACAACGAATCTAAATATAACGTATCTAATTGGAACGAATCGAAACATCATCTTGGTAAAAAATGATATGAATCTCAAGGAATTTCCTGATTGCAATAGCATAAAGCCTTTTGGATATGGCCAATGCACTCAGGTTGACACTCGAAACAAGGTAGATAAGCAAATGACAGGGTTCATCAAAGAGGTACACTAAAAGTCTAAGTCACGCTAATACTTAAATGACGTTGTAGACTGTAACTTACAAAGCAGGAACAATAATCATGGAAGATTGGAATGTTATGAAGACTTGTCAACATGGACAAAGTAAAATTCAGAGACACACATGCACTGAGATATAAAATAAATAAAGAGATTACGAACAAGATAAGATAAATAATTAGAGAAGTGAATATCTTAGAGAATTTACCACAGAGCTCTTCAGTTCTCCAGTTGATGTGAACCCCTTTACTGGAACACTGGTAGGCATAGGCGGCAATGGCAGTACACAAACACTCACAGTCTCCACCCATGTCACAAGCACAGGCATCAAATTCACACCTTATTTAAGAAAAAAAAGACGTGATCGATTTATTTACATGTTTATGGAAAAACAGGCCTCTGTCTTATATTTCATTTATTACGAAAGAAAAGATACACATACCTGAGTACGACAATTTGCTAAATGACACAATCACTAAAAGGAGAACAACGTGTGCAGTCACTATAATCTTGAATACTATTTTCTCTTTTTCGTTAAAAAAAAATTGTTATTTCGGGTCACAATGAGAGAAATCATAGTTTGTTACAGAAGAGAAAAAAGATGTCGCTGAGGAACAACACCAGGAGCAAAACGAGTTAATTTTTCATACCACTTAATGATTTGTTTTCATGCGTTCATTGTTACCACATGTCCAAACTTGGTTATCATGAACAATCTCTATGCTATTTGACAATCCAGAACTCACCGCTTTATGAAACCCTCAGGCTCAACCAAACCGTGGCAAGGTTCAAACACTTCTGATGCCATAACCGAGCACTTTGACCTGGCCCAGGGCTTTCTCATGGGGGCCGAGAGACAGGTGTCCACTACCTCCTTGGACACTTCACAGTAAGGATGTACTCGCCAGCTGTCAGCAAACACGGTCACCTTTCCAACAGGAGGACCACCTTGGCGCAAGGAGAAGTCATCAGTTCTGTCCCCATTGTAGTTTCCACATAAACCTGAGACCTACAATGTCAAAGCACATTTAAACCTTCGTTATATTGCGTATTCAAGATAGAGCAGGCAATCCACTACAAAGCATATTTTTGCATCCAAGTCTTTAATATTAGGTATGCAATGTTGCACGGCCCCGCAAACCATGTTTTCTTGTTTATAGAGGATTTCTGTACTGAGGATGTAATTACATTGCAGCTGCAGAGAGCAATGCAAGCTTGCTTTTGATACAAATCCAAAACTTAACAGAGTTGGGGTATAACACCTGAAACGTAAATAACAAGAGTCTTAAATATATGATAAAATGAAGAAATTACAAGGCAAGAATATAAATTAACTTCCTCTCTCATAAATATAGATATTTATCCATTTCCACAGCAAAAAAAAATAAAAAATAGAATGTCAGTACGTACATATACAATATTAACAACCAATAGGGAATCTTACAGAATACATTTTTTGTATACGTAGCACCAACTGACCACTCTGACTCACAATCGTTGAGAAGTTTAAAGTGCTTTACCTTGCCCATGTGTTGGGGTGCCAGTCGAATGTAGATTCTTGTACCCTTATCCCATTGAATTGTGAGCCCAAAGTCCGTGGTGAAATAAACCATCTCTCCAACTTCTAGAACATCAAATGGCAAACGTGGGTCTGGTCTTATCGATTTACCTGTAACAAAGGTACAACATTTCATAGCATATGCAGCAAATACACAATTCCGAGCAAAAATGATACTGATAAAATGTGCGATTTAAAAAACAACATTTCATTATTTTTTCCTGAACACATTTAATAGTTTTCAGGAGAAGAGTAACAGTACACCTAAAAATGATTTTTTCCTCAGTAACAGTTTTATTTTGGCTAACTCAATCATCATAGTTCACTAGCATTGAATATCGCTTGGTATTTCGCTAAACAAACTCATTCTGCTTTACTTGTTTGTACGTATCTATTAAAAGAACATGATCTATGACCCTTTTGTGTAACTGTCGGAAAACAGCTGTCTATAAAATCTTGGAAATTAGTACAAAGGCATAACATGAAATAAGAAGACAATGCAGATGTTCTCTTTTGCCATTCGCTTCTTTTGTGTTCGGAATAGGTTATGTGTCTTCAAATTGTTCAAAATATTGTATTTCACACGAACCCCCCCCCCCCCACACACACAAAACCCACCAACAAAACAACAACCAAACACACAAACAAAAAAAACAACAAAACCAACAACCCCAGAACAAAACAACCAGATCGATTAAAAAGTTGTGACTTGGTGGATCTTTCTTTGTCCACATGGTAAATACACCTGCAAACATTAACCCAAACCTGTCCATGAACAACGGAAAAAATTGACCCTCTGATGCCACAACCTCTTCCCCCATAACATTCTTACAGGCATTCCACAGTTCAGACCTCAATTAAATTCAAACCCAAGGAGCAGGAGCGCCAAAAAGAAGTGAGAATTTTAACCAGGTAAGAAAACCAATGAATAAACAAATCAGAAAACTCCAAAACATTCAGTGTGTTAAGTAATAATTCTTGTTCGTGCCAACTATGAAACTACAGAAATACGAATGACTGTATTTGATTGATGCAGAAGACCTGGTGGTGAAATTTTACCTCTTTCAAGCTTCAAACGGTAAAATGAGCTGGTCGACTCTCGTCCTAAGGTGATATCAATGCCTTTGGAGCAAGTCACGCCACTGGTTCCACACTGTACATTTTTTGTTGTGATGACAAATTTGTCTGGATTGTTGTCAGCAGATTGAGCCAAAATATAGTCGCATGACCCTTGGAACTCGTAGGAGAGTTCATCGAATGTGGAGTAGTGGGAATCACCGTAGGCACTGCACGTAGCCGGGCATTCATTATCCTCACACTGCCACACCTGACCTCTACATACGCTGAGAACAAGAGACAATGACGTCTTAAATCTGACAGTAGAAATCAAAGACAAACACAAGCGATGCATTATAATTCATTTAGCAACAATTAATATCAACTTAGAGAAGTTAACTCAACTGTAACGATCCCATCAATACAAATAACCGACCGATTTTAAAAAGAAAGGGCAAGGAATTCATGAATAAAAACCAAAGTGTTAAGTATAACACTAGTTCAAATCATATAAAGTACAGAATACGTTTAGTAAATTCAGCACTAAGGGAAGGCCTAATATATTTCAGTATAGTAGCAATTCTGACAAGAAAGTACTACTTACCATTCGTTGCAGTCAAGAAGCAGCGAATCCCCCTCATAGTAGGATTTACCTCCATGCTGACATGGGCACATAGATTCTTTGACACACTTGTCCCCATCTAACACATAGCCGTCTATGCAGGCACAGCCTGGCGTACAGGTTGAGACATCACAGGTAGACGGAGAGTCCATATTTTCACAGGTGAGAGGGCAGTTAGATGGACAAGCGTTGTACTCCATGTTCGCTGGACACAGAGGCTTGATGAATGGCAGTTTGCGATGGTCGCTGTACCTTACTTTGTGGCACTGCCACTGTGCACCTGCGCACACGCTGAGAACGTAAAGAAACCCCCCCAGTAGAAATAACATATTAGATAAGCAATTTTACTTCTGGCCTGTTTGCTCTGGGGAATCAAGATGTCATTAAGAGCAAACAAAGAGCTCGTACAAATGAATATGTGTGTGTGTGTGTGTGTGTGTGTGTGTGTGTGTGTGTGTGTGTGTGTGTGTGTGTGTGTATGTGTGTGTTTATGGTGGTGGTGGTTGAGGAGGGCGGGAGTTTATAACAAACACATTTTTCCAAAACAGGGTTTATTTTGCTTACTCAAAGGGCT